TGTAAAATTAAAACTGTGCAGATTCAATCTGTGGCACTGAAATAATTATATGACATTAATAAAAGATATCCTAGAATAATTATCTTAAAGACATATCTAGCGAAGTCTTGAACTTAAATAAATTTAGATAAATCTAAATACCCGCTGGATTAGCACGTACACATACACATACACGCACATACGCGGAACTGCTTTCCATGTCACGCCGCATCGAAATCTGAACCCACTTGACTCGCAATTTCTAGCTGATGATCGTTAAACAAGTTATAATCGTCGCGTGTTCTTTTCCCGCTACGCAGAATCCGCGACGTCGATCTTTGCGCGATTTCGATCTATGCGCTGCACCGCCTCTCCGTCTCGCCGCGCCGCGCGAGCGTCTCCTGGCACCATCGCCACTTCGCGCCGCTTTGCTCCGCTCACTCGCTCGCTCGCTCGCTCGCTCGCTCGCTCGCTCGTGCGGCGAGATGGGTGTGCCGTGTGCGCGAGAGCGAGCTTCCTGTCAATTCGGTGCGTATTGACAGAAGACGCTGGAAAATTCAAAGCCCCGTCGCCGGTCGCCGTAGCGCGCCGTCCTTCGCCGCGGGATCAATTATCCTCGCTGCACCGCACGCCGTGACGTGACGTGATCTGACGCGACACGACGCGACACGACGCGACGCGACGCGACGCGACGCGACGCGACGCGATGCGACGCAAACGTCAACGTCGGCCATCAGCCCGTCGACACTCACCTCGCGCTCGAATCCGAGCTTCCGCTACGAGTTACGATGCTCTATCGACGGACATACTTCGGTCCGTCGCCGTTTCGATCTCAGTCGCCTAGGCGGACCGAGTTTCGCGGCGACGACGCGCCGGGATGCGTTCGCAATGGAAACGAGAGAGAGAGAGAGACAGACACAAAGCGTGGGGGAAGTGTCGTGTCGCGTCGTTTCGTCGTTTACGTATGTATCTATCTTTCTTTCTTTCTTTCTTTCTTTCTTTCTTTCTTTCTTTCTCTCTCTCTCTCTCCTTCTGCTCTACGAGTACGGCGTGAGCACGAGTACGTGTGCACCGGGTACAAGGCGTTTAGCATACACACACGCACGTACGCACGCACACATACACGCGCGTATACACGATGGGAGCTCGACGCTCGTCTTCCCCTCGCTCGCACCTCGTAATGGCAGCGATGACGACCGAGGGCAGTCCCAGGCTGTCATATACGCACGCAAGCACGCGTGTGCTATATATATATATATATATATAATATGTATGCATGTATACGTACGTGCGTGACGCACGCACTCGTTCACTTACTCACGCACGTTCTTCTACCGTTTCTCGCTGCCGCCGGCTACGCCCAACAACGCGCGCGTCGATCGGCGGTTCCGTCGCGGGTCGCGATGCGCGCGATGCATCCGTCGCGGGGGACGACGAGCGATCGCGGAAGACGCGCGGAAAACGCATTCGTAGCGACACCGTCGCCGCCTTTACCTCCCGGCGGAAGGGCAGAGCGATTATATAGATCGTACCGAATCGACACTGCGAAACGACGGCTGCGAGACGACGAACCGCTGCTGTCCACCAAACCCCGACGTTGTTATCCGTCGCACGACGCATTGAGCACTGACTCGACGGCGCCACTGCTGCCAACGCGGCGGACGTGAACCCTGGCCGGTCTGAATCACGGCGCTGCGCCCGCCGGTCAGGAACGTGTTAAAGAACGTTTCCCCATTTACCTCCATTTCCACTTCAATATAGATTAATTTTAATCTTGGTTAAATTCACTTTCTATCTTTATATAATTCGATGAATTGGAAGAGAATAAAAGGGAATAAACTGAATTAAACCGAAAATTAAAATTAATCTATGTTGATGGAAATGGGGATTAGTGGCACAAATATCGGCACAAGTATCGTTTTGCTCTTGTTATTCATTGTATAAAAGATAGAATGACGTTTGTGTCGACTTGTATTACTAAATGAAAAGCATCCGAAGTTTCCGCGTAGATACGACCACGTGGAAAAAAGAAAAAACTTGGACAAAAAAAAAATAATATTGCAATATATTATTAAGCCTTGTGTACGACGAAGGGAATATTAGAAATAGGAATAAATATTAAATTTTGGAAATGAAAATTCCAAATAAGGATTAAACGTAATAGCTAGTAATATAACAGATAACGTTATTACAAGTTTTAATAATAATAGATAATCTATTGAAATTTTACTTTCACCGATCTGTCAACAATTATTTTTTGTTCTGTCTCTAATCAAATTGATGCAGTCTCAGAAAATTTAAATTATACAAAATTCTAATTTATTTATAAACTTTTCAGTTCTCGCAAATGATAGCCTTAGCTAATCAGAAAAAAATTGATCATTATTTTTACATCATCACGAAAATGAAAAGACAATTTTAAGATCATCATCCTCTCTTTTTCCTAAATTGTGCAACACATGTGTAAAACACATTTGTGTTTCATAAATATTAATTAGGAAATAATATATATTTTAATAATAATAATGTTATTCATTAAGTCTTAAAATTATATAAGTGTCTTTGAATTCTAACTTCTTTTCTTTAAACAATAGTCTATTATCTGCTTTAACACTTTTCATGCCGCATCGATTTTATGTGATTTGTTGTTTATGCCGTCTGAGTCATTGGTGATCTATATGGTATATTCATAAGCTTGTCACATATAAATTTGTTTTCCATATTGAGAAAATTATGAAAATTATTATCATAAAAAAAGACCTAAGAATATGAATTTTGCAATAAATATTCATCATAATTATAATTATATATTGAGAAGTGATATCAGGAAATATTTTATATGATTCTATTTCTTTTCACAGTTGAAATATTAAACAGCCTGAAAATCTAATGTGGATCATCGGTACGAAATGTATTAATAGATTTTTCAAGTTTTACTTGCAACTATACAAACAATATTTCATACATGTTTGTTATTAATGACATTTATTTTCATTGGAATTTATATTACACAATACTAATTTATAGAATTTATAACGAATTACATGTTAGATAATTCATATATTTTTTGCAGACGTACTTTAATATATTTTATTATTAAATATTAACTAGGTAGTAATATACTGCAATTTAATTAGTTTTGTCCAGTTTGTATTTTTAGTTCTCTGCGATTTTTCCGATTGTCTCGTGAAATCGCGAGAAACGCCCCGCGTTTAAACTACGTTTCTGTTAATGCGCGGATATGAATTACGTCTGGCGTATTACAAAACAATAGCTAAGCTGTGCACCTTGTGATGAGATAAAGAAAAGACGATAAGGCATTTTAAAAAATTATTTGCTGATAAAAACAGATAAGTCGCTCTTATTGACTTATTACCGGATTGCTTTCGGGCTAAACATAAATATCGTACCGATAATTCCCGACAATGCGCTTTTAAGATAAATTTTTTTAAAACAGATAGATATGCACAAGAAGAAGACTTTAGAATGAACTTATATTTAAATTCAATTTATCCGGATAAAGTCCGAATGAGTCATCGGCTTTTGCCTTAAAAACAAAATTCGCTGATAACATAGATTCTCGTTTGTTCGGTGTAAAACGCTTGACTCGACTCGAATGTTAACATTCACATGTCATTCGATAAACACAAGTTTTTTTCGAGTCGAAATCCTCGCTAGTAAATCGCGAAGCGATGTGGCGCCAAAGTTTCATAATTTAATAATTATATCGCTCGCGTATAAACGTTCAACTTCACCCGGAAGCCAATCGAACCATAAATTTAACTGATCATACTTGGAGGGAGAAAGAGAGGGAAGGAGAAAGACATAATAACGATTCTATTGAAATCTTCTCTTATGCAATAACGAGTGATTTTATCGCCTTCTCGAGAGGCGTACATAATTCCACGACGACGGCCATTATATCATGGCGCTGGCAATACTCATTGGCATATTGACAGCGTTTCATCCCATTGTCACTTTACGCTGGTATTGTTCGGCGTAAAAGCTCGATGTTGACAGTGCTGAAATGTAAGCCGACACTATCAACCGAACGGGATGACAGCATCGGAGATAAGAAAGCCGTCGAGTTATACAGTACAATCGTGTGCATTTTTAAAAAGACACGGCTTAATTGGCGATTGCCTTTGTGATGAAAAAACACAACGAACATCGCGGAAAGCGAAAGACGGAAATGTTGATATGTAACAATAATAATAATTTATATATATATATATATATATATATATATATATATGAATTCAATTAAAATTAGTAAGACACTTAAATACTTGTCTGGCGAGCAATGTCATTTGTAATCCTATTGTTTGAATAATAATAATATTAATGATGATATCGTCTCGTATAATCTTAGATATGATACCGTCTAAACTGATACTTATAAACATTGAATTTAATTGCTTAAATTTATCGCACTCGGAGATAAATACGATACGATGAGCGATATTGATACGATATGGACCAGATTAAAATACTGAATTTTTTAAATTATTATTATTGCATTCCAATATTGGATAAATGTGTAAATTTTAAGAGATTTAAGAAGTATTTTATCTCTGTTTCATATTTTATTTCAGTTTATGGAAGTTTGAAAGAAAGTTTTTTGATGTTTTATTTAGTGAAAGAATTTTTATTATAGAAGAATAACTTTTCCATAAAATATCCCGTACAATTTATTCAGACTTAAACTTGGAAAATGCTTCTTCTTCTTCTTATTCTTCAGTTTTACTTTTTGTTTTAAGAAATTTCTCTCATTTTATACATCCAAAGAATTTCATCTTCAGGTAAAATTTCGAACATTTAATTTTTGTTTCGTAAAATTTATATAAATTTGAGGTCTAGCTGTTGTGTTGTAGTTGTGCTTTTCATTTTTTTCCTCCTTTTCTCTTGCAACATTCAATTATAGGTCCATTTCATTTTAATAATAAGTACAGAAAGTACAGCAATAGTGCAATTACAAAGAACTACGGGCCTTTTGGCTTTCTTTCTTTATCGAGGGTAACAATTCGCAATGCCGGGCCTAAGTGGTACATGGGCCCCGTGCAAAAACAAACATTAATACCTCACGCTTAAGTTGGCAGCGTCATCGGACGGACGGAAGTGGGGGGGGGGGAAAGGTCGTACGGCCGTAAGTGCAGCTGCACCCGGCGACGCACAGCCGTACGAACGTAGCGGGATGGCCGGAGGCCAAGCAGTTGGAGGCATTAGGGTTACCAACGGCTCCAAATGCAACTACGTGTGTTGCACAGATCCGCATACTACTTTCCTTTCAGACAACAACGGCCTTTTGCTTTCTTCTCTCAATCCCTCTCTCTCCTCTTTTCCTTTAGCTACCCTTTCCGCCGGCTCGGGGCGACGGCGTTACTTGATTCGTGCTTCAATACGATGTTTTACAACACAAACGAAACTTTTGTACCCAATCGAATCTCGGATGCCGAGAAACTTTTGAATTATCGAGAACTAGCAAAAGAATTTGCAACGCGTATAAAAGATAACAAATTAAAAATATCGATATACATGTGTATAAATATATACAAATGCGTGTGAATTATTGTTCGAACAGATTTTCAAGCTGACGGGGAATTGGTTTCTCCTCAAAATAAAAATATGACGCATATTTCACGGTATAATTAAACGCGTTCATAGTATCTC